AAGGGGCAAAGGGGAAGGGGAAGTGGGAGGGGTAGGGGAAAGGAAAGAAGGGAATGGAATTAATATGAGAAAAGGAAAAAATGGAAACAAAGTCTTTGCAAATAGGGAGGGATGGAGGGGTTGAAGGGAGGGCAGGGGATTGGGGAAAAAATAAGAACCAAGAGAGACTATGTAAAGGTGCAAATTTCCAACAATGAATATCATTATATTGTACACCTAAAATGTACCAATAAAATTTATTTAAAAAAATTCCAGACTCAGATTGTTTTCTTGGTAAAGTCCATCAAATATTACCCAAAAAAAGCAATCTTACACTTTTTTAGGAACCAGATAAAGTAAGATCACTATCCAACACAAGTTTTGAGGCCACTGCAACTCCAGCATAAACCTTGACTTTACAAAAAAAAAAAAAAAAAAAAAAAATCGCAGAGCGATATTCCTCATGAGTACAGACGCAAAAATCCTGACAAATATCACTCACCAAATCCAGCAGCACAGAGAGGAGCATACACCACACCCTGCGGTCATCCCAGGAACACAAGGCTTCTTTAGCAGTCAGAACCCAACCAAGACCCTTCACCTTACTGTGACCACTTCAACACCCACTCAGGACTAGGAAAATAAAGCACATGGGCAAACTAGGAAGAGGACTCTCTCCCCTCGAACCCCATAAAGGGTGTGTGGGGCCTACAGCTAACATCACACCTGAGAAAAAGGCAAGGATGCCCACTTCCCTTCTATGCAATTGGGTCCTTTTATTATTTATTTATTTATTTGGTTTTTTTGAGACAAAGCCTCACTACATTAATTGTTAAGGCTGGCCTTGAACTCACTGTGTTGCCTAGGCTGGCCTCGAACTTGCAGTGATTCTCCAACCTCAGCCTCTGGACTGCTGTGATTTTAGGGGGTGCCACCACACCCGGCAATCTGGTCCTTTTAGACACTGCAATAAAGGAAGTAAAAAGGGAGGAATAATACTGTCCTTATCTGCAGAAAAGATGATTGATTCCATGGAAAACCCCAGGGAAATCTAAAGCAACAATTAGAATTAATAACTTGGTAAGGTTGCAGGTTACAAAGTAAAATTTAAAAAATTAATTGTATTCTTAAATACTAGCAGCAAACAATTAGAAATTAAGCAAGCAATTTCATTTATAGGAGTACCAAATTTAAAAAGTACCTAGAGGGTCGGGGATTTAGCTCAGCGGTTCTGGCCCCTGCCACACAAGCTCAAGGTCCCGAGTTCGATCCCTGGTACCAAAATAAAGAAAGAAAGAAAGAAAGAAAGAAAGAAAGAAAGTACCTAGAAATAAACAACAATAAACATTCAAGACTTCTACCTCCCTACTTCCAAAATACTGTTTTAAGTGTTTTTCAGGGATTAACTCTTTTTGTCCTTATAAAAATTCTGTGAAAAAAGTACATACTTTACCAATGAGAAAACAAGCAGAGGTGAAATGGCTTACCAAGGTGGAGTGTGAACGTGAACGTAGGTGGTTAAGGGAAAAAGCCCCGAGGCTCCTCCACAGAAGCACAGGCAGCTACACCTGCAGGAAAGTGGTATCTGCTCTGGACTGCCGGGAAACAGGCCTCACCCACGCTGGGGAGGTAAAACCTGCAACACTGGTAAGAGAAGGGGATCAACCCAAAGCCACCCAGAGCGCTGAACTCTGAACTGGCCTCGCTTGGCACACTTCCTCCTTTCTACCTTTCATCTGTGTGGAGAGGCCCACTGAGTAGCACGGTTCTCTCCTGGCAAGGGAACAAATTCAGCACTGCTCTGTACCACTGGTTGATGGTCTTTATTCCTCTTCTAATAAGGCTATTCTTGCACTGTATAATCACCAGCCACACCGGGCTATTAAACTTAATTGACATTAAGTAAAATGTAAAAACTCAGTTCCTCAGTCCCACAGGCCTCATTCTGGGTTTCAGCCACATGTGGCCTATGGATGCCGCACAGGGCAGCACGGATGAGAACATTTCACACAAAGCCCCATGGACAGCACCTATCTATACTATGTAGAGGGAACCAAGAAAAGTGAGTGCACCTTGTTCTTAACAGAAGCCATTTGCCGGGCCCAGTTTGGCATAAAACAAAACACAAGATTGTGATGAAAGCCCAGGATCCAGAGTCGGCCAGAGAATTAGACCTTTTATGGTTACAGGACAAGGCTTTGACAAACGCCAGGGAAGGGGCTCATCAAATGGAAAGAGCCTCCCTTTGGACACTGTCACTGTTGTTCTCGAAAATGTTAGGCCATGTCTACTGACCCACAGAAGTTATTGCCAGGAACCTTCTTTAAACTGTATATAGACTTTTAAATGTATTCCTTACAACAACCCTGGCTGTCTCAGTCTGTTCCACTTGACGGACTTCCTGCGACCTTATGCTTTGGCAGACTGGAGAGAGGACATCTTCCTGTCCCAGTGAAGTCACCTGACTGAAAGTCACATCTGCAGCAAGAGCAGCTTTCCCCCAGGCCTCTTTTGGTTCCAGTGACTACACCCTCCCTTAAGCCTTGGGTGTTCAGGGGTAGAGGCAACTGCACTGCTATAAGCTTCAGGCCAAAGCGCTAGCATGGCCACTTCCCTATCAGTGTCCTGTCTGCTTCTCGACCCCCTTTTTTTTTTAGTACTGGAGATCGAACTCAGGATCTTGAGCTTTCGAGGCAGGTGCGGTGCCACTGGTGCCCCCTCCCCCCTTTAATCCCCCTACAAAGCAATGGAGGGGCCGGGGATTTAGCTCAGTGGTTCCGGTGCCTGCCTCACAAGCACAAGGTCCTGAGTTCGATCCCCGGTACCAAAAAAAAAAAAAAAAAAAAAAGCAATGGAGGCCGACTCAGGGAGACTGTCACTTTCCCAGACAGTCAGTGTCCTCTGGCAATGCATTTACAACAGGAATCTTCACACTGAGCCGAGCATCCACAGACTTTCCAAGGGAACTAAGGCACGGTCTTTTCCAGGAACTAATTTTCTGCTCCTACGGGGGACTGAACACAGGACCTTTGCACTAAGCTACATCTCCAGCAGGATTTTGTGGGGTTTTTTTAAACAAACAAGATCTCGCTAAATTGCCCAAGGGGTACTCGAACTTGGGATCAGCCTGCCTCAACCTCCCAGCGGGCTGGGATCGTGGGTGTGCGCCACCAGACCTGGCTTGCCCCTCAGCTTTTGATGTGTTCCCTTTGCAGACACAGAGCTGCTGAGATGAACGTGCACGTGACAGAACTGAGTCCTCCTGTCCCTCTGACACGGGGTCCTCTCCCTTAAGAAAGCGTTTTCCATGACATCGCCAAAATAAGATCCTTTCGTCCCATCAGAAGATCCGTAGGAACCAGAGTCCGCAGCGTCACAGCCTCAGAAACGGAAAAGGAAACCCGATGGCAAATCCGGCTCCTTCGGCCCAATCCAGGGGCCCGCGTTCGGAGAACGGGCCCTGCCGGAGGCCAGAACGGACCTCGCTCACCGCCGAGCTGCGCCTCCCACAGGGGCAGTTCTCAGGGGAGCGCTCCCATCGCGCCGGAGGCTCAGAGCCAAGTCCGCCGCGACCTCGAGGGCTCCCACAACCCCGACCCCCGGCCTGCCCACAGCCTGAACCCCGCCGACCCCCACCGGCTCCTCCGAGTCAGCACTTCCGGGGCATCCGACTGCTTCCGGGGCGGGGACGGCCGCGCCTGCGGCCCCCCCACCGCGCATATGCGGAAGGCAGGGACTGACTCCGACACGCTCGGTGGCCGCGGAGCGCAGCGTCCGGGACGCCCGAGCGCCGCTCCACGGTCTGGCGCGGTCGGTTCCGACTCCTGCGGGGGCCTGCGAGCGCTTCGCCAACGGGACACGCCGAATGGAAACGCAGATGCTTTTTGAAGAACAGTTTATTAAGAGATTACACCAAAAGCATAAACAATTCATACGCCAAACTCCGAAAAAATGAACCTATAAGGATCTCTTTTAAAAAAGGTACTGTACTCACAAATAACAAGACAGACTGGACATAATAAATAGAACTGAAGCAATGACTTAAAATTTTAAGTGGAAATGGGAAAAAAGTCTTCCTCTTTCTACAATTTTGAATGGGCGCCCAATGCCTGTGTATAAAAATACTGGCAAAATAAGAGGCTCGCCGGGACTCCAACTGTATGAGTTCGTTCATCCTGTCCACCTTATTACTATCTCTGCAGGCTGTTCCAGCGCAAGGTCCGGGGCCCCGTGCACTTCCTAACGTGCTAAGCCCGAAGAGACCTTGATTCAACAACAAACCCTAATGGGTGATGAGCTTCTGCGTGCGCATCAGTATGAATTTGTCGGCACATCTGAATGAAGGTCATGATCATCACTTCTCGAATTCAGCACTGACTGGATGGAAGTCAGGAAACAATAGGAGGAAGAATGAACAGCAATCCACAGACCTTTTGCATCTTTTCTGGCCTTCAGTAGACGGAGTCATAAACAGCACAACCACACTGGGTGAACAATTCATTTTAGCCTAAGCTTTTTCAAACATTCATATAACAGAAGATATAATACAGTCAAGAAAAAGAATTGCTGGCATCACTTTCTCCCCACAAAATTACATAAAAGTGGACAAAACATTAAATAAACATTTTGTTATTAAATATATTAACACCAAAAATCATGTATAAATTAGGAAATAAATGTACAAACTATTTCACAAAGTGCTTTTTAAAATATATACACAACATTCAAGAAATTCTTAATGTAAGACATTCCAGATTGAAATTTTGGGGTGATAAGTTTTTCAAGTGTCCTTTTTCTTTCAAAAAGCATTAATATGGCACTTAAAAAAAAATTAACACATACATAAAAGGCATATTCCCAGATTGGCAAGGAATGAAAATTATCTTCACAGTATGTAAATGTTTAACACTTTCAATGGGGAATTTTAGTCCCCAGTTGAATTTGCAAATTAGTTCTATAAAAACTAAGGAAAAGAATAAAATCGAGATGACTCCCTAAATGAAACTAATACCTTTGCCATTTAGCAATTAAAAACTCTCGTTTTTGTGATTTAATGTGGGCACACATATTTTTCAAGCCCTTACCAGTGTTAAAGGTTTTTTAGACCCTGTGCATACAAAATAAATGCTTCTATGCCCATGTTTGTTGCTATCTGTCCCTTAGAAGAGGAGAGAACATCCTAGGATAGGACTGGTAGTCAAAACAGACAAAGCCTTTAATCTGAGCCTCAGTTCTTCATCTGTAAATAGGAATGGTACCTGCTCTGTATTTTCCAACATGACCTCTCAGGATTAACTGAAGCAAAAACAACCCCCCACCCCCTGACAAAATAGCTTATAAATTTTAAAGCACTCAACTCTGGATAAAAATTACTTTTAATTTTAAAAACATAACTATTTTGAATTAGAGAAAAACATCTTCAGTAAGCCTGATGTATCAAGCATTGGATATATTTTGTATTTTCCTGGTAGTTCTTAGAAATACATCAGCATTTATCTGAAGTTGTTTTTTAAGGAGTCATAGTAGATACGGTTTTATTATTCAAGTAAAGGTTGATCAAGTATCCACGCTACTTATTAGCGGAAATACAGGATTTTTAATTTGACTATTTTCCAAGTGAGCTACACAGAATTTAAATGGAACTGAATGTCTAAGGGATGTAAAAATTATTCAAATTTTATTATATAAAACTTAGTTTTCCCTCAAAAGAATACAGTAAAGTTTTGGGGATAATTTTTAAAAATAGGATATGGATTTCAGACATCCCTAAAAGAAAAGGAACACTTGCTTGGAGATCTGAACAAGTAGGTCCTAGAAGAAATAATATGAAATAAAAAACTTGCCGATTATTTGGAAAACTTCGTATCAATACTTTAAGTTATCTCTGTTTAGAAATGGGGATTTTAAATATTCAAATCCTAAAAATGATGTCAGCTAAGCAAGCACAGGCCAAAGCCAAAACAGTTTCTGAGGGCCCAGTTGGCAGAGAACGGCTGTCACTCCTCAGCAACACAGCACTCCCAGGTCTGGCGAATCCAGTGACGGCGAACCTTTTAGAGCTTTCAACAATACAAACAGCCACGGTGGCATGTGTGCCACAGGTTCGCCACCACTAGGCTAATTGCATGTTGCCCTCACTGACTCCTATTTATTTGGAATATAGTCACTGATCCCTTTCCATCTTCTAATACAAAGATGTACGCTTTTTTGGATAACAGAATTAGCGAGAGCACAAGCAATGGGCAAGCTCTGGAAATGATGGTACGAAGCCTCTCCAGGTGAAGCATATTTATCCTTGTCGTGGAATAACAGAAACTGGCCTAAAACACAGGCAGTGCCCCAGCTCCCATCCAGGCAAAGCAGAGGTGGGCATCCAGGGCTGCAAGTACAGTTACAGAAACGTTTACAACCCACAGTGTGACACTGGCATGAGGAGAGGGAGAAGAGCCGGGTCTCTTGATGTGAATCATGGATGAGGGAGTCTTTTAAATATGTCCCATTTCTGGACATGATTATACTGATAACAAGATGACCCCCGAAGCTAGCTAGGACCTCAAGAAGGGGGTGGGGGACAAAAAGGGGACAACCTCTCCACTGTATCAACATATAATACTATATACAGCACCAAATCTGTCACACCATCACAGTGCTGTCTGGTGCCAGTGGTGCACGCTCAATGTCATACCCAGCATGAAATGAGCACGCTTCACATGCAGACGTGGCATAGGGCGAAGGGTGACCGGCATGTCACAATTCCTCTGAACAGCCACTGGCCCGTCCATCCCTGGGCGGACACGCTACCACAAGGGCTCCAACAAGAATGCTTGTCCCTTATTGCTGGTAATTTCCATACTGGCCCTAAAAGAGATCAAGACATAGATTACAATTCTACAGTCCTGAGCAGAGGGACCACACCTAAGGGAGAGTGGCCCCTCATTCTCAGCCAACATCCAGGGTAAGCAGTGGAAGAAAGGAGGTACGCAGGCAAGCAGGTAAGTGTGAGGTGGAGAGCACCACTTCTAGAAGCCACTCACCCATGCCCGGGGCTGGTGACTTAGAGCAGAGAACGTCAAAGGGCTCCCTGCGGACTGGGCCCAGCCACAGGCCTAATCACACCTTATGCTGGCCCTGCCACGAAGGCAGGCTGCCCAGGCAGATGCCAGGTGCTGAACTCTCACAGGTGACTGATGTGCAGAGGGCAATGCAACTCTCAAGCATGCTCAAGTAGGAAACGGGGATGGGTGACCAGGGCGATAGGATTAGTCAATACAAAATCTGAAGAGAACTGGAGCCCGTGTCCAGCATAGCTGCAGGATAGGAGGCTGAGTGGATGGCCTGACCCAGGGAGAAGAGCTGCTCAGCAGACTGCTGTAGACAAGGACACTGATCACTCATCTCATGCCCTTCTCTGTTCGCCCCCACTGGCTCATCACCAGGCCTGCTGGGAGGAGGGAGAGCTGCTGGCCTGAGCAGGAGCCCCTCGTATGCAGCCAAGTATGTTCCTGCCGTCCTCACTCTCAGAGCAGCTGCTGGGAGTCTCACAAGCAGAGCTAACTCAGATGGATCTTGCTGCTGCTGGCATCCATGGGTAGAGCGGGGGACGTGGCAGGTATCTGTTGGTGACCCTGAGTGGGACTCACACACAGTGCAGGTGTCTGCACCCACAAGGGCCAGGAGCGCCTGTCTCTGATGACCAGACGCATCTTCAGACACTGCCAAGTGTCCCCTGGAGCAGCACTGGGCCGGCTGGCTGTGCTCTGGTACTGGGGCTGCCTGCTGTTTGGGCAGCCGAGGCTCCAGAAGGGCTTGTCTAGTTTACTAAGCTGGGCAGGGGCGGGTCTGACCCCACGGCCCACAGCTACACCTGAACCCCTGAAGACTGGATTAGCTTCGTATTCTGGGGTTAGACACTTCTTTCTCTAAAATGTACTGCTGTGTCTCCTTTTTAGAGGTAGGCATAAACTTAGGGGTCTTCTGGTTCAGTCTATCATTCAGCTAGAATCTTCACAAGTCATTGTACAAATCCCAAAGGCATTATTTCTGCACTCTATGGAGGAGGCTTCTGATCTCATCAAAATCATGCTAGTGATTTAGTGCTGGGTCAGCTGTAGGCCGTGCCCTACTGGATTCTGCACATTGCTCCTGGGCAGGTGATGTTCCTGGTGCCCATCCAGCAGGCCAATCCCAGAGCCCACTGGGAAACACCCTCTTACTGCTATCCACGGCAAACAACCACATTCAACACAGTGCTCTGAAATTTCATTAGCTCTGTGAACCTCACTGATGCCTTCTACCTAGCACACTGTGACCCTGGGACAGTCACTGCTTGGTGAGAGGCTCTGAAGGAGACATCAAACCAACACCTAAGAGAACTCACATCCACGCCCCAGTCCCTGAGCTTCTTTCCAGCTCTCTTGACAAGTCTGCTACTGCTGGCTGGGAGTGGTGACGCACACCTGTCATACCAGCACTCGGGAGGCTGAGGTAGGAGGATCACTTCGAGTTTGCCCGCCTGGGCTACAGAGTGAGTTCAAGGCCAGTCTGAACTACACAATGAGACCATCTCAAAAAAACATGTGCTACTGCCTCAGGCGGTGCATGTCCTCTTCCTGAGCGTGGCTCATTCTCACCCACTTTAGGGCCCCTGCCCCACTCAGAGGCCTGTGAAGCCCCGGCCTCCTGTCTGGCCTGTCACCTCCCGCTGCTCCCCTCCTCACTGATGCAGGAGGCTGAATCTTCTGATTGCCAGGAATTCTCTTCTGTGTGTCCCTTCAGGGCCCTGCCTGACTGCCACCCTGGCAGACAGGTTTCCCAGAGCTACTGTCTGAGCAGGTAAGAGCTCTTGCCCATTGTTTTAGCCCTGTGGCCCTCTGTAGCTACCAGCTCCTGAGTGTCACTTCTGCCCTGCTTCTCTACCTACACCTCCAGGGTCCATGCGGGCTTCCTCTGCTTGGCCCTTGCCTGATCCCTGGCCTCCAGGAGAGTCTGGCTCCTTCAGGTGAGTGACTACCTCCACAACGAGACGTAAGGTCTGACAGCTCAGGGGCCATGTCACCACCACATCCCAGGTGCCCAGCAGAGACCTGGAACGTGCCTGGCACACAGTAAATGTCTGCAGATGAATCATGCTGTTGCCTGTGCAGACCTTATGGTACGTCTGGGGTATAGAAAGCCACCTGCCTGACCAAGCTGAGTATATACGCAGAGGTAATTTTTAAAAACCTTACATGGCTGGGCCGGGGACTTAGCTCAGTGGTTTTGCTGCCTGCTGCACAAGGGCAAGGACCTGAGTTCGATCCCTGGTACCAAAAAATAACCTCACAGGCTCAGTGAATTAACATTCTGGAAGGGGCTCTGGGAGCCAATTAGTTCCCTCCCATTATTCCTCATGACAAGAGAAATCTTCATTGCGCCTCGACAGACGCAGCAGACGGGCACGTCTGGAAACATCCAGAAAGCTTGCCTGCTCATAACCGTAGGGGCGCTGCTGCTGGGCAGAGGGTCCCGACTGCGACGCTCTGTAGCTTCCATACTGCTGGCCTTGTCCTTGCTGGTAGCTGGAGTACTGCGAGGGGGCGCCCTGGGCAGGCCCTGAGGAAACACCAGGAACCAGAGGCATAAGCACACCATCACCAAAACACCTGTACACGCAGCAAGAGAGCCGTGCAAACAACAAGCCAGACCCACCAGTCCTGCAAGGGCCAGGACTGGGCCCCACTCCACAGGGTGGCTGAGGCCTCTCCCCTGAACACCTGGGCCTGCTGCTTGCTAGAAGCTGGCTGTGACTATTCTGGAACTACCTTGTATCAGTCACAGTGGATACTGTAAACAGGTACTTGATGGATCTGAGGAACTGAGGGAAACCCCAGCTGGGAGGGGAAGAGTTTCTGTGAAAACTAAGTTGAAGACGTTGGAAAAAATCAGTAAAGGTGAAGTACGCTTTATTTATTTTTCCCGGTACTAGGGGTAGAACTTAGGGCCTTGTGGATGCTAGGCAAGTGCTCTACCACTGAGCCACAGGCAGTACTGTTGTGGGGCTTGGGATTAGCTCAGTGGTGCCACTGCCTGCCTTGCAAGGGCAAGGTCTCAAGTTTGATCCCTGGTACCAAACAAAACAAAACAAAATGCTATTGTGATGGTTGTAAAGTTGAGCAGTCTTTTTTTTTTGCAGTACTGGGGATCGAACTTAGGACCTTGCACTTGCCAGTCAGGCGTGGTGCCACTGAGCTACATCCCTGGCCCAGTTGAACAGTCTCTGTGGTTTCCTCCTTCCCCACACATGGGGCCCAGCCTGAGAATTGCTCCAGTTAGTCTGGGCTGATCCCAGTTCCCTATTTTTCAAAAGCTGCTCAGGTGATTCTCAAGTGTTACAAAGGCTGAGACCTAACCACCAGCCTTGCTTCCTCAGAGTGGGAGCTAATATAAAGGATGGGGTACTGGACCTGTGGTTTACAGAAAGGATGAAGCTAGCTCCAGTGGGGAGACCCCATGGCTGATGGATACTTGTTTATTTTCTTTAAAATAAGATGTTGCAGCTGGGAATGTTGGCATACACCTGTAATCCCAGCACTCAGGCTGCTGAGGCAGGAGGATCACTGAGTATGAGGCCAGCCTGGGCTCATACTGAGTTCAAGGCCAACCTGAACTACATACTGACACTTTTCTCAAAAACAAACAAACAAACATTTCAGGGGCTGGATATGTGGCTCAGTGGTAGAGTGTGTGCTTAGCATGAGCAAGGCCCTGGGCCTGATTCCCAGCACCGTAAACTAATTAAGATGTTCTGTCCTTGTCTCTGGGTGCTGAGGACTCACTAGCTCATTCTTGATGAGCTCACGTCTGCTCATTCTGACCTATCCGGAAGGAGGTCTTCACCATGCCTTTTTTTTTTGGTACCGGGGATTGAACTCGGGACCTTGTGCTTGCGAGGCAGGCGCCGGAACCACTGAGCTAAATCCCCGGCCCCGCCTTTTGTTTTTTGAGAGTGTCTTGTTATACAGTTCAGGCTGGCCTTGACCTTGAGGCACCATGTGCCTCAGCTTCTGAGTACTAGGATCACAGGCGTGTGCCACCACACCTGGGTTTCACTGAGCATTTTTTGAGACTGAGTCTTGATACCCAGCTGAGGTTGGCCTCATACTCTTTTTGTTTTTTGGTACCGGGGATCGAACTCGGGTTCTTGCACTTGCGAAGCAGGCGGCGAAACCACTGAGCTAAATCCCCGGCCCTGGCCTCACCTTGATCCTCCTGCCTCAGCTTCCTGGGTGTGTGCCATCGTAGACAGCTCTCACTGTGCACGTGAAGTGCCAAGGGTCTGGATGGGCAGCACGCAGTGGCAACATGAGGAAGTGGCCCTCCTGGGGCTGTTGTGGGAACAACACATACTGGCCCTGGGCTCCAGGAGCACCTAGAGCGCTGGCCCTGCTGGGGAGCTTCCTGAAGCCACCGGGTAGGTGTGGGGGCCTTTCCAGTGGAACAAGGTCCCAAGAGGGGACAGACAGGCTTAGGACTCTGGCAAAGCCTGGCCTCAGCAAAGCTGAGTTTTCTTCTCTGCTTATCTTTTGGTGAGCTGGGTTTTTGCCTTTGTTCCTACTGAAGCTGGGCCCTGGGCCCTCTGTCCCTTTCTGCTCAGCCCAAGGGCCCACTTTGCCTGTGGCAGGCTCACTGGCTGGGCTCACAGCACTGCGGGCTCCTGGGGGACAGAAGCTGAGGCATGGCGAGCACTTGCTAGCAGCCTGCAGGACACTGGGTGAAAGAGACACAGAACCAGGTGCAGAAGATGCCTTTCTGCACCTGATCCCAGAGTCTATTACTATTTCCAATAAAAAGGAGCAGCTCATCCTAGGGCTGGGGCATGGAAAATACTGCAGCACAGAAAATACTAGAGAAAAAACCAAACCAAAACACCAAAACCCCTAAACAAACCAAAAGACAACCCCCTCCCCTAAAACCCAAAAGAACACAGGAGCCAATCTGAAGAGCTCCTAGGGGCCAATACTGGGGCTGGGGCAATTTAACTTAGCAAATTACAACCCCACATGTAAAATTAATATCTATGAATACACACTAAAACAAATAAATGGCTGAGTGAGCGGGGGGGGGAAAGGACACAGTCCCCTTGCACAAGAACTCCTGAAAATGTAGGTAGATCACCCCCGAGCGGAGCATGGTGACTCACATTGGAAGACGAATGGCACCTGGCCAGGTGAGCAAGCTGGCATCACCGCAGGTGAGCCTGTGCACTGGCCATGGAAGCTCCCTCACGCTCCTTTCCAAACCTGGGACTGAACCCCAGGTGGAGAAAAACATTAGACAAACCCCACTACAAAGTGCCTACCTGACCCAACCACCCCCAAACTGTCAAGGTCATGTGGGATCCTGGATCAGGCAAAGGGACAGAAAAGGACACCAGGGGAAAAATAGTGAGGTCTGAATGAAGTGTGGTGTTTAGGGTTAGCAATGTAGTTCTGCCAGTTTCTTATCTCTGACAACTGTACCCTGGGAATGTGTGATGTTCATTGTGGGGATCGGGGTGCTGGGTACATGACAGCTCTGCATTATCCTTGCAACTGTTCTGGAAAGGAGAAACTCTTTCCAAATAAGTTTACTAATGCCCACCTGAGCGGGAATGTACAATGTGCACAGCCCATGTGTGTTGTGTGGCAGGGAGGGCACTGGGAGGGATCCCCGTAGGAAGACGTACCCTTCTCTTACCGTAGCCTTGCTGCTGCCCTGGGTAGCTCTGCTGGCTGGGGTACTGCTGCTGGGGGTATGCCTGCTGCTGGGCTGTGCCCTGCTGGTACCCGGCCTGCTGCTGGCTGTACTGGGAGTTCCCTGTGGAAAGAGGGGACACAGTTCATTTCTAGCCAGTGCGGGTGGCTTGCTAATAGCACTGAGGCACAATAGCCATGGCATCCCTAGACCACATCTGCTGCCTCAGTAACAGCAGTAGGTTTTCTTTTTCGTAATTCAAGTATTACATTTTCTTGTTATTTTATAAAAATACAAATGAAGTGATTAATACAATTAAGACAAAAGTGAATACCACTATTGGGAGTTGAACTGTGTCCCCCCAAAAGACGTGCTGACTTCCTAGGCTGGGAATGTGGCCTGACGGAACAGGGTCTTTGGAGATGTGATGGTGTGAGGTTGACCCAGTCCACATGAGGGGAAGCATGGAGACACAGAGAAGACCACGTGCTGAGGAGGCAGAAACTGGGGTGCTGCTGCTCCAAGCCAAGGACCACTGGTCTCTCCAGCCCTCAAAAGCTGGAAAGAGGCTTGAATACACCCTCCTGAGCCCACTGTAGGAAGCAGCCATGCTGGCGCCCTGACCTCAGGCATTAGGCCTCCAGAGTTCCAAGGGAATGGATTTGTTATTTTAAGATGCCTAGTTAATGGACCATGTGACGGCAGCCCCAGCATACCAGGCAGCCCACAAGCATATAGCAAGGCTGGAAGCAAGTGGATCGCAGTGTTGGTCAGCTGCAGACCTGGATGTGAAGAAACATGTATGTGTTCTAACAGAAAAATACGGTGTTTAATATTTGAAAATTTTTTTATTACAGTAAAAGGTCTGTTGCTATGGATCCCCCTCAAAATACTCCCCCTCACTTGGAACACACTTATCCCATTGTTTTTACCACTTTCTGAAGCAGTTCTAGAAGTCCCCTTTTGCGAGTGTCTTTAGTAGTACTGTTTCGGCTACTACCTCGATGTCCTGAAATGATTCAAATGTTTTTCTTTCATAATCATTTTGACTCTGGCAAAGAGTCAGAAGTTGTACAGTGCCAGGCCTGGTGAATAGGTGGATGAGGATGCACAGTAATGTTTTTGTAAGCCTGCCTTTCCATCAGATGGCACTCAGCAACAGTATTAGTTTTGATCACACCTCATGAAGACATTCACAAAAGACTTCCAGAACTGCTTCAGAAAGTGGCAGGAATTAGCTGGCCATGCTAATGCACTATGGGAGGCTGAGACAGGAGGATCTCAAGTTTGAGCCCAGCCCAGTCAACTTCTCTCTCTCTCTCTTTTCTTGCTTAAGATTCAGTCTCACTATGTAATTTAGGCTGGCCTCAAACTAGTGGCAATCTTCCTGCCTCTGCTCGAGTACTGGGATTATAGGCATATGCCACCATACCTGGTCTCAAAAAAAAAAAAAAAAATGGTAAGAGCAAATGAGTAAGTATGCTGCTCATGTCCTGAGGGATGGATGCTTACATCCCATCACGAGGCTCTGCCTTCTCCTTGTCCGTTTTTATGGCTTGTATCTAGATGTCCTCCCAAAGCCTCTTGTGGTCATAGGTGGGGCTGGATCTAGAGTGTGTGCTGCTGGGATCGAGGATGTGATACTGGGATTGATTCCTGGGCAATGCTAGCATTAAGGCAGCCCCACCTTGGATGTGTTACCCATGGATAGCCTGGATAAGATAGGTGGCTGCCAGTTGCTCGTAGCTGGCTGCTTGCTGCCTTCTGCCTGCCATGGACCGTTTCTCCTCTGCAATGTCTCCCTCTGCCCTGCCACCCTGCCCTGGAGCCAGCCAACTATGAACTGAAACCTCTACAAACTGTGAGCCAAATAAACCTTTCCTCCTTTAACTTTGAGTGTCAAGTATTTTGTTTCAGCAATGAGAAAAGTAACTAAGACATCCGACATACACCATAACATCAGGGATAAGCAGCCATGTGGAGTCACAGGCCAACCAAACACTTCCCTCAGATCGGGACACTTAAAGACACCTGGAATCACGTTCCCCAACAGGCCCCAGAGCATTTGAGATACACTGATGTTCATGACAGACATCAGGCGGAGGCCAGTGTTCCAGCCTGTCCTTGTCATGGTGCTTTTCCTTAGATCTCATGCAACTCACGCCAGAGTGAATGAGGAAGGCAGCTGCTTCCCATGTGGTGAGGCTGCTGGCAGGTGGGGAAAAGTTGAAAAGAGGCTTAGGTTCATTTTCTGAGAGAAAATGCCTTAATTCTTATTTCTACAAATTTAATGATGACATCTATGCTAAAAGCCTCATTGCAGAAAATAGTTCTTGGTGAGAAACATAATTTAGGAAAGCAATAACCAAATTGCCACCAAGATTCTGGAGGGGCACTGATTGTTCCGAAATCTTGTCTCCAAGTCTTCCTGGTAGGCCAGAGGGAACCTACTCCAGAGTCAGAATGCAGGTCAAACCCCATGCAGTTTCCAAAGCATCTTTACAGACAACCACACAGAAGCCTCGTCCCTTGCCGCCTTCCAAGCAGGCCCAGCTCCTTCACTGTGCAAAGCGCACGCTGTCCACCTGTGCACACACGTCTTGCATCTGCGTGGCCAATCCCAGGCTCAGGAATGAGCAAGGGCGGGGCGGGACCTGCACATGCGCCTCACACTGGCTGCTGACAAACTGCACCCCAGGTACAGGATGCGGGCTGAGGCCTCGGGAGGCCAGATGAGGAAAACCAGTATCTAAGAGCCGATTTTCCTACTTTACTTTTCTGGCTAAGAACTTCCCTATTCTAAAGCTAGGTCTTAGTAATACATTATTCTGTTTTGTTTTGTTTTTTTGGTACTGGGGATCAAACTCAGGACCTCGTGTTTGCAAGGCAGGTGGCGGAACCACTGAGCTAAATCCCCCGCCCTACATTATTAAAACTTCGTTCAGTAACTCATTATGAAAACTCAGCTTCACTGAGAGTTCACTTTGGGAAGGTTTAAAAACCTATTAGGGAAACTCAATTTGTGGTTACAAAGTGTAACAAAGCTAATACACACTCTCATGCTGGTTGAATTCCTCAGGTGCGAACTTTTGAGGCAGGCGCCAGAACCACTGAGCTAAATCCCCGGCAGGTGCGAACTTTTGAAAAACCTATTTGAATCCTTCTCATTATCCACCATCTAAGAAATTATCTTAACTTCCTAACTTGTGCTTTCTCAAAATCCAGTGCCGGCTCCAGCAACCAATGGGCAAATGAGGTGACACTGAGCAAAAAGACGCCAGCTGACTGGGGATGCATCAGTCATGCTTGGCAAAGTCCTAAGAAATGTCCAAGGCAACACACCAGTGACACAGGTCTCTAGGAGTGGAGATGGTATGGACAGCCATAAAGTCAGGCCCTTCTATCCTCAGTGACACCCAATAATAATTAATACTTTTTTTGAGTACTAGGGCTTGAACTCAGAGGCTTTGCATTGAACTACATCCCTAGTGTGTCTGTCTGCGTCCCCCTCCCTCCCTCTATTCTGGGATAGGGTCTCTCTAAATTGTTAAGTGGCCCAGGTTGGGCACAAACTTGCAATCCTACTCCTTTAGCTTCCCACAGTGCTGGGATTACGGGCACACACCACGGTACCCAGCTTAATAGTTAGTACTTTCAACCTTAACTTCGGAATAGGCCAATACATTCTCGTAATTCAGAAGTGTAAAAACAAACACATGCCTTCAAGAGACAGAGGCCAGTCCACCCCTGCGCTGACTGCTCAGACCCGTCCCCTCGGGCATCTGTAACTGTGCTTGGTTTCTTGGGTACTCTGCAGTTCTTTTGTGGGGTGTGTGTGGGCATCCCCAATATATGTGTGTCCTATTTTCCCTAGGGTTTACACCAACGGTGGATCCAGACACCCTGTCCACACCTGGCTTTGGCAGCGTATGCCGTGGCCAGGAGGGCCTCAGGCTCTGTCTAGGGTGCACTACCACAAGCCTCACTGCTGTGAGACCTGGGCCTCCCTCTTCCAGGCCACACACTTCCCCAAGCTCCATGCACACCTGGACAGTGCCTAATGCTCCTGGATGGCTCACCTGACACCACCCCGGCCCTTCCTGCCTCTGGTCCTCTGTGGCCAGCACCTGCTCGCTCTCTAGGAATCCTCCAGGCTCCAGAAAGATACAATGAATTACAAGACCAGATGCCCAGGACCCACAGGTTGCTGGATCCATTGCAATAGAAACTTTAGGAATTTCTTTATGTTGGCCTCAGTCTCCCCTCTAACCTCTGCCTAGCCCTCCACATTGTACCCCCAGCAGCATGTCTTTGAAGACGGGGAAGACCTGTCCCTCAGTTTCCTCAAAACAGAGCATTCCTAGCCCTCCCACTCGACAGAAGACCTTGTGATAGACACCGGGCAATAGCCCTGAGTTCCATGTGTACATGAGGGCCCTGTGCTGGGGTCTAATTAACAAAATGTCAGGACAAAATACTTCCAGAAGGAAACCGTGCCATCTGCCACTTGTCAGAGGGTTACTAAATTTTTTAGCACACTCATCAATTATGGAAGGCGAGAATATGTAACTCAAAATGTGAGTACAAAAATGTGCACTTCAAATGTTAAAAGGCTGAGCAGCACATCCTAGGTTTGTCTCTGGATGAGCGTCAGTCACAAAGAGCAGAGATGGCCTTGGGCAGCTGGTGTTCAGGATGCCACTTGTGCAGAGGCTGAGCTCTGATGCCTTCCAGGGGAGGAAGGGAAGAAGCATTCAGTTAGCTGAGCTCAGCCTGGTTTGTACAATTCCCAGTGCTAGGAATTCTGCACTGTTATATAAATATGCCAGTGATGCTCTTTGCAATCAGCCCCTGGGTGGTTTCTTTTTCTTTTCTTTTTTTTTTAAAAAACCTTGTTATTTATCTATTTTTAATTTTCTCCTAGCTTTTTTTTTGGTACCAGGGATCGAACTCGTGTCCTTGCGCTTGCGCAGCAGGCGGCGAAACCACTGAGCTAAATTCCCGGCCCTCTCCTAGCTTTATTAAGGTATAATTGACAAAAATAATATATGTTTGTGGTGTACAATGTGATGTTCTGATAAACACACACTTGGGTAGTTTATTTCTTCCCAGCAGGCTGGGACTTGATAGCTTAAAAGCAAAAGGTTTACAGATACAGTTCTTTAAGAAATAGCCCAAACAAGCTTGTTGGAGGCCATTTAGAGCAGGCCAGCCCTGCATGCCTGGCGAGCTCACTGGCAGCTCTTCCTGTTGATGAGAAGGGCCCTGTGGGGAGACAGCTGGGAGCTGTGGGGTGCTGAGTGTGCTTAGAGCCTACACCTCTGACTCACCACCAGACACGAAGTTTCCTCTTCCCGGGGGCCACTGGCCCTGCTTTCCTTTGGGGAGGGGCGCCACCCTGGGAGGCTTGGGATGGTCTTGTGCTGTGATGGATGGACTGTCACCATTCTCCTGACTCTGGGGGACCTGCTCTTTCCCCATCAGACCCAAGTTCCTCAACCTGCTCATGCCAACCCGGGCCTTGGCCCAGGGCCCCAGGCCAGGAGGAGTCCTAGGCAAGCACGTCTGCTGGTGCAGATGCCAGGCCGAGTCAGCTCAGTAGGCCAAAGTTTTCCTGCAGAAGAACTGCGCCTGCACCAAGTTCCTCGTGTGGCTGTGCAGAGGGCTGGTTTGTTCTCCCATGTCTGTGGCGGGTCACACCTGCATCCCACTCTGATAAGAACCAACGGGAAGGGGGCAGCCATGCAGACTGCCTGCGCCATCACAGGTGAGAGGCAGGATAAAAATTCCCACTGTTCTCAAAGATAAGCTGACACTTAGGATGACAGGAGTGTCAAGGTACCTGTGCATTATTTCATTTTCAGACCCCTTGGATGTTTCTGTCCTCTCATTTTATATTCAGCCACAGGCTCCTGACCTAGCCAGGGCAATGGCCAGGTTACTGCGCTTCCTTCCGGGACAAGCAGGGGCAACAACGAAGTGTCCTCACAGACCGGCAGGCCGGCACCTGCACGGTGGGTGACTGTGCTGGGACGAGACCCTACCCCAGCAGGACAAGGGGTGTGAGTGTGGCAATGAGAGAACCGTGAAGCAGCTAAGGCATGACCACAGCGGCGGTCAGCAGCTAAAGCCAAACTTGCCAAACTTGCTTGTGGGAACAGCGTGGCAGTTCCTCAGAAAGTCACGAAGGATTTCCGTGGGACACAGTGGTCCCTCGAGGAGACACCTGCACACCCTCGATCCCCAAACCGTGAGCTACAACAGCTCAAAGGGAAGCACCCCGAGTGTTCGTAGACAGACGAACAGAAGAGGAAGATTTGGTCCATGCTCACAATGGGACTCTGAGCATCCAGTCTTGGAGGAAGGAGCCCAACCCTGCTACAGCATGGGAGATGAGCCAGGCACAGGACATGACCCCTCAGGGCCCCAGCAGTCAGACTCCAGAGGCAGAGCACCAAGGTGGGTGCCGGGGAGGGAGTGGAGGGGAGTCTGCTCAACTGCGACAGTCTCAGTTCTGCAAGATGCAGAGTTCCGAAGATGGCACACACGACAGCTGCACAGGAAGACACGGCGCCTTGTGCCACTGGTCTGTCCATGTAAAAACAGTCCAGAGAGTGAATCTCATTATGTGGGCTTTTTAACATGTTCACAACAGGACCGTAATTTGTATGTCTGGCGCCAGGCGGCTCTGAACCACTGGTGGTACCTGCATGACTGTCCCATTGGGCAGCAAGGGACAATCTCATCAGGCGGTACAGGCTGCCCGGGGACAGTCATGTACATATGAGGGGTGGTCCAAGCCGGCAGGGACGTAGTAACCACAAATAATTCTTTAAAAAGTCATCAAAAATGTTGCACTTACAAGTCATCTGCTTCACATTTATTGTTTGTTGCCTCTGTCCACACAGTCTCTCCAGCAAGCTGTACATTCCCCACTGCCGACACCCGACCAGGAAGCCTGGCTGGAGGCAGCTGAGCTCAGGCAGACCTGTGAGTTGACTGCCACTCCAAGGGACCACCCTCACTCCACAGGGCTGGAGCCAGCAGATGACGCCAGCTCAGCGTCAGTCCCGGATGTGCCACTGGGGTTTCCCACGTGGTTTCCACCAGAGACACAGGAGGGGCCATGGATCGGGTTTCGGAGAGCCGGCTGACCAGCACATGGCTACCTCACCCTCTAACCCCTAGGCACTGCCAGGGTCTCCCGCTGGGGCTGAGGCCTCCAGACCAAAGACGTGGTTTACCAGGCTGGCCTGTGTTTAAAGAAATGCCAGGGCCCACCCAATGCAGCCATATCACCCACAAATATCCTCTGGCTGGCTCAGACGGGCTTTGGGGTGCCTCTGTGTCCACTGAACGACAAGCCCCAGGCAGGTCAGCTAGAGCAGATGGCAGGGTTGGTCCCCAGCTCCTCCCACATGGCCGGCTGAACCCTCTTCTGTTTCCCAATAGCCACAAGGCGAGTGGGACCTGACACACAGCCTGGCATTTCCAGCTTTTCACTGAGCTCTGTGCCGACTGCTGCATCTGCACCTGTTACCTGTCAGCGATTCAGGTAAAACTTACTGGAGGCAGGCAACGCTTGCTCCTAAGAGTGCGGTGTCTTAACTGCTGTGCATGCCGTTGCACGTGGAGCACAACTCGCGGCCCTCGCGCTCCTTACCCCCCTCGTAGTAGTGCTGTGTGGACTCCTCGAACGAGCGGTCATAGCTCTGCTCCGTGTAGGATGACTGCTGGTAGGCATAATCGCCATGGCCTGCAAGAAGTAGGTGAACCGCTGTTGACGGGGGCAGAGACAGCCAAGCCATGGGACAGGGCGGGTCCCAGGGCAGGGAGGAGAGCAGAGCTGGACAGAAGCCCATTCTTCAGAAGCCCATTCTTCTGGAACCTTTCCAAAAGGAAGCCGGAGCTTCCTCACTTTCAAGTGCAGGCGTCACTTCCTGCTCCCAAATTATGTGAGGCTGTTACAGTTTATGGAGAGGATCAAATCTATTCACAGCCTGCTTCGTGACAGTGCCAGCTGCTCCCTTCCTGTCTCCGCCTGGCTTCTTCTGGGAGCTTCCAGGCAGGGGGTGCCATGACCCACCAAGAGGCCCTCGCTTCGTGGCAGCATCACATCCCAGGACACAGCTTGCCCCGCAGCTGGTCTCTGCCATCCCTTCACCTAGCGCAGCTGTGCACTCCTACCTCACACCTGTCGATGCCAATGTGCCGTGTCCTCCAGGGAGCCTCATCCGTTTTTTTTGGTCCTGTGGATTAGACCTAGATCCTCCACCCTGAGCTACATCCTTGACCCTTTTAAATTTCTTGTTTTGAGAAAGGGCCTTGCTAAGTTGCCCAGGTAGGACTTGAACTTGGATGTGTCAGCCTTCCAGAGTACTGAGCTTATAGTTACGTGCCACCACGCCCAGCCTGGAAGCCCCATCTTTGTCTCCTGAAGTTGCCCATCCTTCAAGACCGTTTAAAATGCCACTTCCACAAATCCCAGGGCATTTTAAAGATGCCTCAAAGGTGAAAGGAAAGCAATCTGCAGAAGTGACAATGAGTGGCCAGGAGGCAAGGGCCGCTAGACACAGACTTGCAGGGTCAGGCAGGGTCTGCCAGCTTTGTGCACACCGTTCTCTGAAGGTTTGGGCCCATCTCGCTGAAGGTTCACCTCTACCTACTACAGGGATGGCTGTCCCTAGCAGCCTTTCAGGAAAGGGAGAAGCCCCAGGGAGGGAAGTGGCAGCATGTGCTGAAGCTCTCTGCGGAAGCCAGCCCTCATCCCAACCCCAACACGCATGAGCGAAGGGCACTTGTGATCGTCTGTCAGTGCAATGTCAGGGGCCACAGCTCCGAATGCCTGGGCACAGCGAGCAGAGGGCTTTGTGCTGGCCTGCACGATGTGCTCACCGTCCGGGTAGTACTGCTGGCTCATCGGCTCCGAGGCACCCTGGCTGTGGCTATACTGCTCACTGTAGTACTCCTCTTGGCCCAGGTACTGCTGGGAAGAGCCTGTGGGAGGACACGGCACTCAGGACAAGCAGCAGCTGGGCCAGTGCTCCTCACAGCCCAGACAGCTCAGCAGCAGGGCATGGCGGGAGGCTTTGCTCACAGGAGAGCACCTCACACAGCCACCGAGGGAACTGGGCCTCCTCCTTTCACTGCCCAGCCCTGAAACACTCTGCACTTTGCATCTGGAACAATCACCAGCCTCCCATGCCCCCAAGGCCCACTCCCCAAGGACATCAGACCCATGCTTGCCCCCATCAGGACCTCTAACAACAAGACCCCTCAGACGGTTCCCAGCATCCTGGCTCATCTCAAGACATTCAACACAGAGAAATCTGTGCACTCCAGCCCTGCAAGGTGGACTGCAGGCCAGGTGCACGGCTGCGTTGGCTGGGCACACTGGCAGGCTTACCTTGCTGGGAGGCCCGGTAGGGTGCCATGGGCCGCTGCCCCATCATGCTGCTCCCCTGGCCACCCTGGCCCATCATGGCGATGGATGACTGGCCCTGGTAGTGCTGGCTTCCGCCCTGTGCTGAGTTGTAGTGGGATGTGGCCGCCTGCTGGTGCATCATGGAAACTATGAGACAGGAAAGAGACCCCAAACGTCCTGAGGAGGCTGGGGGAGGAGAGGCCCCTGCCTAGCTTTCATTTCTCCTTCTGCTGCAAGCATGACTCCCTTCTTCTCAGGCTGACCCTTTATTATTTTCTCAAGTTCCCCACGAGAACATCACCCTCAATCCCAAGTCACACCCCAACACAAGCTGTGCCCATGGCCCAGTGTGTGGTCCGACATGAGCCCCGCACCAGCACCAGCCATTTTAAATGTGCCAATGTTGGGACATCAGAGGGGGCCTCGGTGGGATGGCCTGGGGCTCCCACAGCAAACAAAAACACAAGCGACCCCACAGATGCCCACCAATCTGGGCCCAGGAAACTCAGTCCCATTCTTCCTGTCCCTAGAGCTGGTGCTGGAGGAGTCACCCTGTCCACACGTGTCACCTGCTCAGACACCCCCAGAGCAGCACAACAGCGACAGGACAGGAGGCATGTAAAGTTTCAGTAACCATGTTGAAAACGTGAGGAAAACCCGCTAGGTGAAATCAATTTTAGTAATACATTTTATTGGAGCTAATTTTCCAAAATAAATTTTTAGTATGGAATTATGAAAAATACTGTGGAGATCTCTCACATCCTTTTTTGGGTAAATGACGCTCTGAGATCTGTGGCTTTACTGCTCAGGGAACAGCCACATTGGGGCCTGCCACACCCCACGTGCTCCATGCCTGGCCAGGCCGCCCTGCTTGAGGATTCCAGACTGGTGTCCAGTGAGCTTCATCCTTTCCACCTCTGTGGTGCTGCCAGGTAATCCCTGTGCCAGAAGGAACCCTGCCCACCTCCCAGCCCAGTGGTGTCCTTCGGACCCATGCCCAAGGCCAGCCTTTCCTTGGAGCCTTCCCTCAAGCCTCTGCGAGAAACAGCTGGGGCGGTATCACTGTCTTGGGCGAGGCCACCACACTGCATCACGCTCTCCTCCGCACCAGTGCTGCCCCAGGGCCGCCCCTCGGGAACCTCCTGTGCAGCCTGACTTTCCTTTCTAAAGGTCCTGGCGCCAGGCCCATGCTCCCTGGGCTGTGGAGGCAGAGCAGGTACCTGGATTGGACTGCATATTGATGTTGGTCCGAGACACGTAGTTGCCGATGGCACCCTGGCCCTGCATGGGGACACTCTGCGAGGCTGGTCCCGAGTGGCTGTAGCCAGGCGCAGTGCCGTGGCCACTACCCGACATGCTCATGGAGGTCGTAGGAAGTGTGCTTTGTGCCGTCTGCTGCATGGACACATGGTTTGGACCTGCCGGGAGTCAGGGTGGGGAGGGCATCAGGTGCTAGGTCACCACCTCTGGAGGTGAAGACGCCCCCAGCTTCCTTCCAGTCGTTTGGAGAAGGGAGGCTAACCCAAGGTCAACACACTGTGAGTGAAGTCAATGATTAGGTGATGAATGCAGAGATAAATACACACGCTAATTAAATACAGAAGAACCATAGGCCCATTGTGCCCATTGTTAAACGCTCTTAACGGTTTCCAATTGCCCAGGCATGGCCGCACACACCTGTGCTCCTAGCACTCTTGGAGGCTGAGGCAAAAGGATCACAGTTGGAGCCCGGCTTGGGCAACTCTGTGATTTGGTGAGACCCTGTCTCAAAATAGCAACAACAACAGCAACAGCAAAGTGCTAAGAATTCAGCTCGGGCCCGCAGTGGGGGATGGGGGAACCTTCCCAATCCAAAGACAGTAACAATTCTTTCTTATTAGAAATGCACACAGGGCACATTTGAAGTGGCCACCTCTGACACCAACAGTGTCCGAACAGAGTCTGACCAGAACTAGAGCTTCATTGGGTCTTCGTGCTCCTACCACCCTGCACTGTGCCCAGCCGCGGAAGCACACACATGGAAGCACCACAGCTGCCTGGTGACCTCGGTACTGGGAACGCTTCCTGCTGCAGACTCACCATTGCCAATCTGGCCTTGCATGAGGGAGGCCGGGGGCAGGCCAGTGCTGATGGCGTCGCTGAGACTGCCCTGGGGGTGCAGGCCCTGGCTGGAGCCGCTCTGACTCAGCCCTCCGGGGCCCAGGTTCATGTTCTGGGTTGGTGGCTGCAGGCAATGGGAAGGTGAGGGGAGGACAGTTAACTCAGAGAACTGCCACAAGCCACCCCAGGGATTCACGGCCCCCGAGATTTGCGCTACATCCGTAACCTCTGGCCACCATCAGTCAGCAGGATGGTCACAGTCACCAGGCCAGGACGTTTCAGGCCGTGATGGAGACTGTGATGGTCCAGAACACAAAACAAGAGCTAAGTTTCTCCACACATTTAGATGCTAAAGGCTAATGTCCTTTCTGGGGTGAAAGGGGCTCCTTCATGGCCCCATCCTGCAGCCACCCTCTCCCTCCTGAAGCAGCTGGCCAGGCACCTCAGCATCCACACCGCTCCGTGTCTCAGGGCCTTTGCATTAGCTGCTCACTGCGACTCCCTGTCCTCTCATGTCTACTTCCTCACAGCTCAGTCTCCGCTCCCCCAAGCCCACCTCCCATCACAGGACACGCAGGGAAGAGAAAGTCAAGTGACCCTCGGCCCTCATTTCTAGCTCTAGATCAAACGCTGGTTCCAAAGGTTTGTTCACAGATGCTGTCTACACGTGGCCAGAAAAAGAAAGTGTCTCGCAGGGTCTGATAGACCAGTCAAGGCTGGTTTCACTTTCTAAGCTCATAAAACGCATCCTGGCAGAAAATGTCACCATCTCCAGGGGAGCTAGGGGCACTGGAAGGTGAGCCACCCCTGGTGACACATGTGTCCTGACACCTCACTGCCCACCATGGTCAACCTGGGGCTGGTGCTTTTCTGGTCTGTGCTTTCCTTCTCAGCACAAGGAGGCCACGGCTGCAGCCGCAGGATCCTGCTTCACAGTAAAAATTTAATTCGGAGAAGACGCACTTAAAAATAAATCAAAGAGAAAATGAAATATTGATACTGACATCGGAACTGCGCTGGGGCTTCTCCCCTTCCGGACCTTTTGGTCACAGCGTGCGTGTGTGTGGGTTGTGACTGCTCACACCATGCTGAGAGCTTACAGTGTGCTGGCCCTGGGATGGATCGCCAGCACCATAAGGAAAGGGGGTTAATGACCAGCAAGAACTCCCTCCCACCCCTCGCAGTCTGCCCAGACACCCGGTGTCCACCGCTCCTAGTGGGGTCGCCTCTCTCTGCTAAGCCGCTTGAGGCCTGGGCAACTCATCCACCTCAGACTCTGACCTTCACCCCTGCGTCACGTCAAGGGAAGCATCATGTCCCCACCCCGTCCCTCAGCTGCTGATACCTCCCTGGTATTTGGTTCCCATGGGTGACTTTCCTACTGGAGATACACGCTCAGAACCTGGTCTGTGGCACAGTCTGATCCTTCCTGGGGAGCGGGGCACCCCGGTCCCCAGCAAGTGGGTACTCACGGCAGGGAGCAGGGACTGCATATTCTGGTTGGAGTCCGCTATGGTGGCCAGGTAGACCAGGTTCCGGTGCAGTATCTGCTGGTACCTGAGGTGAGGATGTGTCCATGAGGCAGGGGCCTTAGCCAACCCCACCAGGACAGTGGGCCCAGAAGACAGCCAGCCGCAAACGCACATGGCAGTGTGCGTGGGGCAGGAAGGGACAGGCGGGCAGTGGATGCAGCCAAGTCCCCAGCAGGCTCCTGTCCTGTGACAACAATTCTAGAAAGACACTGAGGTGGGGCCAGAAGGGAGGTGGCACTGGGTCTGTTCAGAGAATGGAGGTTGGGGGACAGGCCGCAAGGAGGCAGGGGCTGCATGTGACAGAGGAAGGGCCAGGGGACAGAGCCCTGCTCCAGCAGAGCCAGGCACCAGGCTAACTCCATGATGCCAGCCACCCTGAGAGGCATGGAAAGGAAGTGGGAGTGGTCTGGGGCACCCAAGGACCCTCACACGTCACACCCTGGGTCCCAGGCCACTTACACACATCAAACCTACATGGAGGGGCCAAAGCCTATGACAAAGGTCACAACTAGGGTGGGACAGCTCTGAGGTCCTCTACACCTCTTGCCTCCAGGTATACCTGATGGCCAGCATTGCCTACACTATGTCCTGTGTCAGGAGGCCCCACCTGGACATGCTGGCTGTGCACGGTGTGTCCACTACTGGTCACGGAGTTGGGGCTGTGGCCGCCTGGCCCTCCCCAGCACTCCTCCCTTCCTCCACTCCCTTCAAGCTGCTCCCATTCCTGGCTGCAATGCTTCCACCTCTCGTCCGTGGCAGGGAGGTGCTCAAGGACGCATCTGCCCTGGGCTTCTGATATGGACACATGCTGCTCCGTGTCCCCAGTGCTGGGAGAAGGTGGAGCGTGCTGCCAGGATGGGGTGCAGCTGACTCACTGTGTGCACTCGGCCGTCTTGCCCTTGCTCTGGTAGTCCAGGATGCACTGGATCAGGTGGTGGTTCTCGTCCAGCATCTGTAGGAAAGACGACAAAGACAGGGCACACGTGTGGTCACTCAGGAGCTTCCTCAACATGGCCATGGGGCATCTGGCCAGAGATTCGACCAGTTCACAGCAAGGATTTTGGGACCTGAGGGCCGTGGCTGCCTCAGTGGCTACGGTGACCGGGGGCGACTTGGGTTGGATCACCACAGACGTCTCTTTCCTGCCCAGCCTGGGCACCTCACTCTTAGAGCGGAGGCTAGCTGGACCCCTGAGCCCAAGTGGGAGCCTTCCCCACTCCCCCCAAGACCCGGCCCACGCCCACAAGCCCGGCTGTCTTGCCTTTTAAGGTCAGGTCCTGTCCCTGGTCCCGGCTGGCAGGTGTCATTTCCGAGCCTGTGGTGGGAGGCTATCCCTGACAGGGCCAGGGCGTCCCCTGGTGCTGGAGCCCCCATACCAATCCCAAGGTCCCCACTTGGAGGATATGGCAAACTCTCCAATCAGAGCTGCATGGGGGGCACTGGGGGCACAGAGGACACAGGGCACTCGTGGGACAGGGGTGTGCACCCCTGCAGAGCCCTGGAAGACTTCTCTTAAGAGGCTGCCACCAGCCTGGGCTGGCGAGGGGAGCAAAGGGGATGATGTTGCTGGTGGTAGGGGCTCCAAGTACCCAGGCTAGGGGCAGGAGGTGCAGGTGTATGACCTGGATCTGGGGCCACCAAGCTGCAGCACCCCCAGCCATGAGTTCAACACAAAGAGGGTGGAAGGAGCAGCCTGCATCCTGGGGAGGGGAGGCGGTACTGTTCTGCAAACCTCTCTTCCTAACACAGAATGCAGGTGTGAGGATATGCACTGCATCACAACCTAGGACAAGGATTTGAGACCGATCTTGTTGAGTGTCACAGGCAAACGGGCAGTCGCAAACACCTCAGAGCTGGACCAGGGCTCTCTGAGGGGGACCACAGGCTCTGTGTCCAAGACCCAGGGCACCAGGCCCCTGCTCTTCCAGGGTGCTCTGTGCTTAGAGGTGCCATCACTGCCAGGAGGTGGTCAAAACCACAGATCCTTAGGCCTGCCCCTGCCCAGCTGACTCATGGCCCGCAGTGTCTAAGAAGTGTGGGGCTGGCTCTGCAGAGCTACACAGGCTCCTTCCCAAGGTCTGCAGAATTCCAGCACGCTTCTTAAACCTAGGTGTCTGAGGACTTCATGTCCACAGATCCCTGGAGCTGGGCCACTGCACCCTTTAGCATGTGCTGGTCCAGTGGCTGGCAGAGCTGGGATGGCATGGGGAGACTGAGTGGGATGACAGACGGTGGGAGGGGACAGAGAAGGAGATGGTTGTAAGAAGTGTAGTACGACAGCCGGCAGGGTGGTCAGGCAGTGTGAGCCATTCCCCGCCTGACTGAACCACCACACCGCCACCCTTGTCCATGGAGGCCTGAGCTCGGATGCTCTCACAAAGAAGTGCTAGTGCCTGTCGCCTGCACCAAAACACCTGGTTGTTCCCATGCCAGGAAGTCTCCCCAGACAGTGACTCTGTAGCCAGGGGCGATGGGACCAGCCTACCTGACCTGGCCCCTTGGGTTGCCAGCCCTTCCCTCCACCCTGCAGCACAGGCCCCTGTCATGCCATCTACCGTTGGGGGTCCAGCTCACAGCGTGCCTTTTTAGTCTTCCGTTTCCCCCCATAATGTAACAAGATGCGGAGCACAGCTGGGCCATCCTGAAACAGGCAACCACCAGGGGGCGCTGCCAGCCAAGAGCTGACTGTGAGCCCACCTGTGCACAGGTGAGAGTGGTTCCACAGGCAGACACGCTGGGCTCCTCTAGGTTAACATCACATTTGGGCTGGGCACCAAACTGCCAGTCCATCCCAATGGGCAGCTGTGGTACAAATGGACCTAATCACTTTCATCGATCTTTTTCCTAATAAAAACGGGAGTCATACATGCACCACAGGCGGTTCAAGCCACCCAGGCAGCGAGACATTTGAATGGCGGCCCCACCATGAAAATGTTAATTGAATGGAAACAACCCCAAGAGGCTTTTTCCATTGCCTCTGATGCCACCCTAAAAGGCTTCTTGGTACCCCACTCCTGGACTCCTCACTCCTGGGAGGGATTCTCTCCAAGGGCACAAAGCAAACACCCTAAATGATCCACAAAGAGGGAACTGCAAGCTGTCAGTGACGGGATTACTAGATTAGATCATGGTGTAACTGTCGGATGGGCTTCACCTGGCCTTTCCAGTGCTTTGCAGGCTTGGTAAGAACAAGGAAATGCTGAACCCTTGCCATGTTTTGTCAAAGAAGTAGCAGAGTGCTAGCTGATTTCAGTAAAATCACCTTCATGGGAACAGGGCAGGACCCACGCTGACCTCCAAACCCCTGTGGATGACGAGGAGAACAAGGTGTGACACAGCAGCACAGGAGCTTACAATGAGGGGCACAGGATGGGAAGAACCGAATGGCCGACGCCAGGCTGCTGGATCTGAAACTGGCTGAATGCTTAGCCACTGTGGAAGGCCCAGGAGATGGGGCCAGGCCACCCCTACCCCGCTCCCGTCCCTGGGCCTTGCTGACAGGAGGTGGAGGCAGAGGGTGTGTGGGTGGCTGGAGCGGGGTCTCCAGGGAAAGTGAGCGACCTAGGAGGAGATGCTGGGATCCGGGAGGCAACAGCACCTCACAGGGAACCCCCTAGACCACAAGCCTCACGGGACACGCAGCACCCCGACCCTGGGCCCCAGCCCCAGCCCCAACGGGAGCAACTGGTGCTGAGCAGACCAGCTCAGGAGAAGCCTGTTCTGTGAGAGTCAGAAGCTAATGTCAGCCACACCTGGCAGAGCCAACATCAAGGACGAGGCAAGCAAACAAAAATAATGATTAATATACAAAACAAAAAGATACAGAAAAAACTGTATTCATGAAAAGAATGGGATGCTATTTAAAAACAACACTAGAAGCAGAAAAAGAGCTCTTGGAAATTTAAGCTACGTTGTAAAACAAAGATGCAAAATAAACTACACACGAGGTTAGAATAAGACATAACGTTGAGGGGAACCAGAAAGCAGAAAGAGTGTGACAGCTGGCTGTGTCAGCTTGAGAAGTTGGCTGGTTTGAGAAGCTGAACTCAATCGGCCCAGCAATCTCACACCCTGGGATCTGCAGGACCCACGCTCAGCGGCTGCCTGCCTGGATGGCACAAAGGGCACACGAGGAAGGCACGGCTGCTTGCTCCAGGCTCGTCGTTGCCTTGGATGTCATCTCCTAGTTCCCAGCAACAGCGTCCATCACAGACCCATCGGCCTCCTGACAGGACTTGCACGGAACCCTGCAGTGAGCTCCAGGCCTTTGACTAAATCCTTCGGTCTCCATTGTGCAGATGGACCCTCTGCTCTCTTCCTCACCTGGCTCTGGCGGGCACTGTAAGCCAATCTTCTAAATTCTTATACATTTGTACATCTTGTGTTGTATCTGTTTCTCAGCAAATACCAACGGCTACAATGAGGTAGTCAGAAAATAGAAAAGATAACAAAATCTAAAAAGTGATCCAGGTGGGACAGCATCAATTCTTCCAGCACAGCCAGAAACTGAGAAAACATTGAGAGGAAATTATCCAAAAAGCCCTTGCAGATGTTAGAGACGATGGACACATTTCCAGACTGGAAGGGCCTACCAGGAAACCAGCATGACAAAGAGTACCGGAGAAAGAAGACTCTAAAAGGGACATGAGAGAAAAGCCGGGTTTCCCATGGAAGATGGTAAGGGCCCTGTGCCTCTCCACAGGAGGCGGGACTGGCAGACAGTAAGAGAGGCAGTGACCTAGGATGGAGTGAGGCTCCCAGGAAGAGAGGACCTGGAGGACTGGTGACCTAACCTGAGGAGATTTCTGGAGAGGTGGTCTGCGGAGTCTTCTGGAGCTGGGCCAGGCCGGCCCTGAGGGAGTCCTAGATGAACAATGACCCTCCTGGGAGACTTTTAAAGAACAATGACCTAGCTGGGCAAGGTGGCGTAGGCACTTAGGAAGCTGAGGCAGGAGGATCGGCAGAATTCAAGGCCAGCCTAGGCTACATAATGAGTTCAAGGCTGGCCTGAACTAACTAAATAGTGAGACACTGTCTTAAAGAAAAAAAAAAAGAAACAATGAGGAGAGTTTCAGAGGAGCTGATCCAAGCCAGAGGGAGACTTCCATAGAGGCAATGACTTAACTGACGAGACTTCTGGAGAAGTAATAATCTGAGAAGACACCTGGGGAGATGATGACCTAACTCTGAGGAAGCTTCAAGAGAACAGATGACTTAACCCTTAGGCCTCAAACGTGCAGTGGCCCTCCCGCCACAGCTTCCCAGGTGATGGGATTACAGGCATGCAAAGCGCCCAGCTTAGGGAGTTAGGGAGCGTGCTTGCGCTCTCTCTCTCTCTCTCTCTCTCCCTCTCACTCTCTGTCTCTGACAAGGTCTTGCTATGCAGTTCAGGCTGACTTGAACTTACTATGTAGTCCAGGCTGGCCTCAAACTCGAAGCAATCATCCTGCCTCAGTCTCCCAGATGCTGGGATTACAAGCATGCACAACACTCAGTTTAGGGAGACTTTTGAAGGAGAAATGACCTAACCCCAAGGAAACTTCCAGGAGAGCAATAACCACACTGAGTGCAATGGATAAGCCTCACCCTGAGAAAATCACCTTCGTGATCATGGTATCTCCCCTGCCAGGTAAGTGTAATATAAGATGTGACTTCTGGAGAAGCAATGACCTCACTGAGGCGATGCCTGGAAGAGCACTGACCTAACCCCAAGGAGACTTCTAGAATACCAATGACCTAATCTTAAATAGACTTCCAGAAGATTGACGGCCTAACTGAGGAGACTTCCAGGGAAGGAATTACCTAGCCCCAAGACTTCTGGAGAAGTGGTGAACTAAATGAGAAGACATCTGATGAGACAATGACCTAATTGTGAGGAAACTTCTAGAGGTGTGACAACCTAACTTTGAGAATTTTAGAGGGGCAATGACCTAAACCTGAAGAAATTCTGGA